TCATGTTATTTTTTGCTTTTGGTATGATTATTTGGGTCTCTACGATTTAGATGTTCCTTCTTTTTTGGCTTCATATGCTGCTCCATGGTGATAATGTTAGTACTAGCAACATTGCTACTAATCTTGTATTCCATGATTGGACTAGACATATTGACCGTCTACCATTCCATTTGGCAGTGAATTACCTGTGTTTTACATTCCTTTGAGGACCGACTTACTGATTATGGAAGCACTTACTAAAAAGCAAAATGAGTATCTTATGATCGAACTGTTGCTCATTTATATTGATGACTAGTTTGAGTGAGAACTCTAAAATGTATATTCATGTAATTTTTTTGGTTTGTGTGATTAGTGCATAGTTACTCAAAGCGATTCGGAAACGGAATCGATTTAGGAATCGAAAGCCCAGAATTGCCGCTGGTTGGAAGATTCTTGTTTCCGAAATCAACTTCTATACAAGAATCGTGGGGGACGAGATTCCTATTTTTAGGGATCGAGATTTGACCAAAATAGAATCGAGATCCCTATATAGATGGAATCGAGCTTCCAACGTAGTTGGAATAGACGAATATAGAATCGAGATTCCTTCATTTATGGAATTGAGATTCCAATATCTTTGGAATCGTGAGGGAACTGAGAGAGAAACAATGTATGTTGCGATGCCATTCATTGACCAACATGCCATGCATGTACGTTTACATTATTTGTACTAAATTATTTCTAACATCGTGGAGTTAATACATTATTTCTAACATCGTGGAGTTGCAATCTCTCCATCAGATCAATACAATGCATACTCAAATAATTAAGTAGAGAACTTTGACCACCATTTTTGTTTCTATTGGTCATTTGATCATTTCATGCCAAAAAGGCTGACTACACCTTGTAGCTTGATATTGAGTGTCTAGCTCGAGTAGTTTGATGCCTGGAAAACTTCTCAACATTACTTCTCAAAAAAACACGAAAAGAAGAAAAGAAAAAAAAGGGGAAGTGGTAGAATTCCGATAAATGTGGAAACCAGTTTCAACAAGTGTAAAATTGAGTTTCACCAATTGTATAACCAATAATCAGTAAATATTAGAAATGAGATTCTATAAATGTTGGAATCGAGATTCCAGATTTCATGAAACGGGTTATGTGAAGATTCCTAGTTGGAATTGCTGAATCGAGATTGCAAATCAGAATCGCGACCTTTGGTGAGAGATTTAGGTAAATATGGATTAGTGTATTAATTGAATGGTAGTTTTGTTATGTTGTTTATATCTTAGTTGCTTGGGTCTTCTACTATAGGTGGTGGTCTCATTCTACCACTCTAGGAAACGATTATTCAAGAGATTTAAATTTTTAAATTTTGAGATCTCGATCACCGTTTTTAGGGATCTCAATCCCCGCCTTAATGACCAAGATAACGACCAAACTGATGATATTCTTTATTTATCACCAATTAGCAATGGGACTATACTTTTAATACAATTGCATTGTTGGTTCTTATAAATAAAGACATCCATACTTTGAAGAGTATATAAAGTCCTAGACTATTTATATTCATTAAGGTTGGGATCAAAATCCCCAAAAGTTTGGTTGCGATCCCAATTGGTCGGGATTGAGATCTCCAAAAGGTTGGGGTCAAAACATAACATTTGTGCTCCCAATAATATGGGGATCTTGTAACATTTCAAGACCCCACACCAATCTCGGCTTTGTTCCCTATCTCAACAACTATGGTTTTATACAAGAGTATTAATGTACTTTGTATACCCCAGTAAGTTGTATATAGATGGTATTAATCCCGTATTTTCAATAATGCAAAATTTGATCCTCTAATTCTAACAAAAACAAATTCTACCCTTTTCTTCTTTGTTGTATTATTTTTAGATCGGGGGAATCAATTTTTGGTGGCAAAGGTGGCCTAGGATGGGTAGTTTCTTAGGGTTTTGGCTAGAGATGTGGAGGGGCCACCTCTCTCCTTTTTTTTATTTTATTTTTTATTTTTATTTTAAGGAAAAGGATTCCATATGGGGTCACCTTTATTTTTTGAGGTGGTTGAAGTTTAGGGTTTTGGCTAGAGATGGGGAGGGGCTGCCTCTCTCCTTTTTTTTTTTTGGTTTTTTTAAAGGAAATGGATTCTAGGTGGGGTCACCTTATTTTTTGAGGTGGTGAAGTTCTTGGCAGGGAAGTGACATCAGGTAGGGTAGTGAAATAGGGCTCTTCTTTGAGGTTCTCTTTTGTAAGCTCGTAGTAGTCAGCTAGGATGAAAGCATTGATGACAGGACTGGACCAGATTGTTCGAACCGGGAACATGTGAACTGGTGCTTGTCGTGTTCGATCGGCTCCCTTGGACTTGCTGGTCTGTCAAACCAGTGTTGAACTAGTGGACTGACCGGTCCACCAGTTCAGGATCTAACCAACAAATCTTGATAAGGGGTGAAAAAATACCATTTTGACCCTTTTTTGCTTTTTATTCAAATGAAGCATTCCAGGGATAAGCGTTCGGCGTCATGGGTTTCTTGTGGGGTAATTTTCAACATTAGATCTTTATGGGATGTATAAACGAATGTTTTAGAGGGTGAGAGAGACGCATTTGTGATTTCTCTCTCCCTCTCTCAATTGAAGGACTTTGCAGTGATATTCTGATCAAAATCTGGCCAACATTCAACCCACAAGTACATTTGTGTTATTATGTTATACTTTTTATTTGCTTATTGAAAAGGCAAAAAAGTTTGAATAAATTATAGGTCTTTGGGTTTAGGAAATTAGAGGTCTTACAAAAATAACTTTGTTTTGTTCAGTTTTTTTTTCCATTTGTGGTTTTGGATTCTGATTCTTTAGAAGGGCTTATACAATTTGTAAAATCCTTTAAAAAACTGCAAAAGGAAAGAAATTTTATTTTCTTAATGGATTTTCAGTTTTCAAAATTTAAGGGCTTTTACAATCTATAAAATCCCTTAAAAAAATTGTTTGTGGTTTGGTTTTAATAAAACTAAAAACCAAAGTTTGTTTGTTTGTTTTTTTTTTTTTCCAGGTCTGAATTAGAATGGATTTTACAAATTTTAAAAGCCTTTAAATTTAAAACCAAAAAACAAAAGTTATTTTGATGTTTTTTGCTTTTTTTTTATTTTATTTTCTGTTTGTAAAGGCTTTTTCAATTTGTAAGAGTCCTTAAAATTTAAAAAAACTGAAAAGAATGCAAAAGAACTCAAAGCTTGTATTTTTTTACTGTGTGGCTTTTGTGCACTTTGTTCATAATTTTGGTATTGAATTTGAATTTTCATTTTTAAGCTTTTTGTTTTTTTTTTCCTCCTAAGTTCGGAATCGTTTTTTTAGATGTGTTTACCTATTCTTTTAGATTTTTTTACCTATTGTTTTTTGATTTTGCTTATTGTTCCTTAAAGTTTTAAATTTAGACCGGTGCCCTCACTGGTTTGGTCACTGTCCGGGCCTGACAAGATTGTATGGAAGCTGTTGGTACAATAAATTGATTGTTCATATTACAATTGCCTTTGTTTTAGGTGACTGCTGCGAAAGAATGATCAGTCCAGTGGATGGAGATGATATCTGAGCTTGATGAGATTGGTATGCAGTCTTAGGAGAGTAAGCTTGTGCTCTATTATGGACTGGTGTGTTTTCTAGTGTCTTTCCAGTGGTTCCTTTCGTCACCCCATGCAGCCTATGTCAGATTAGTCACTTCCATATAGGCAGGTGTAGATGAATCATGTTGGGCCAAGAGTGATGGCTTCTCCTGATTGCCTTATTACGGTATTTGATGATAGGAAAGGCATAGAAAATGAGCCTGCCTATCTTGATCTGACTTTGAGCTTTTGCACTGAGGATTGTTTTCCTTATTTCCAGTGAACAGAAAAATGCTAGTTTAATCCCCTTAGTAGTCGTACCAAACTTTCTTGTCAGCACTAAAAAAAAAAGAGAGAAGGAAAATGGTCCTAATGAAAATCGCATAAGCAGCCAAATTTATCAGAGGCTATACACACACACACATTGAACTTTTTCTAGCTTCTAATTTATGACTGTGAGGGTCTGTTTCCTTTCATATTAAACCATTTTATGATACAACAAGAATTTTCTTTTTGTGAATCTTGCTCTTGATTTGTTTATTTGTTTGAACCAGTAAAATGCAGTTAAGAACAATGGGTGTTATCTAATGAATAATATTTGGTTCCCCGGTGTTCTGTTTTGGCATACTTCCTATCGTTGATCTTCTAGCAAACTTTATAGACAAAAACACAATGTTTCTTGTTTTTTCTTTGTTACTACATTTCTTTTTTTCCTTAAGGGAAAACTATTATAAAATAGTCCAGCCACCTTGAAAGACCTATAAGGTGATTAAATCAATAATTTTACCAATAAAGTGATTGCTTTTTAGAATTCCTTTCATTTAGGTGCCTTCTGAAGAATTTGTAAAAAAATACCTAAATTGCATTGTTCCTGGTATGAAACCTTGAAGAAACAAGGACTTTTTGGTAATTTGTACTAGCTTATGTCACTTGAGCCAAATGACCTAAATACCCTTTACCTGTTCCGGGTTAGAAATCCATAACATGCTTTTTAATAAAAAAAAAAAAAATGTTCTTGGATTAGAACCCGAAACAAGTGGGGGCATTTTGGTAATTTGGTTCCCCTTAAGTCACTTGAGCCAAAAGTGAATCCTGCTTGTTCCAGGTTCCAATCCCAGAAAAAGTTTTTTTCTAATGAAGAAAATATATATCTAGGTCATTTGACTTGAGCAACTTACAGTGGCTAAAGTACAGAGTTGTATTGACTTGTTCGGTGTTTCAAACCTAGAATAGGGGAAAATTGAGTCTTTATAACAAAAAAGTTGAGGTACCCAAATGAAATGAGTTTTTTAAAGCCACCACTTTGTTGGTAATTAAGTGTTTTAGATGGTTTGACCATTTTATTGATATTCTTCATTTATTTCTTAGCTGTTCTGACATTAAAATTGTCTCAGATTATCTTTTAATTTGGTTGACATGTTTTGAGTACAGTTATGGGATGCAAGCACTGGAAAAGGTTTCTTACAGTTCAAAGAACACTTAAAAAGAGCATGGTCTGCTGATTTCTCTCAAGCAGATCCTACTAAGTTAGCCAGTGGAAGTGATGACTATTCTGTGAAGCTTTGGAGCATTAATGAGGCAAGTTTTTTCCAGCCGTATGTTAACTATTTTTTAAGGAAACCAGATATGCAGGAATTAACTTGAAATAAGAGGACCTTTTCTATGTATATGAATCAAATTCCTTTTGACTTATATTCATGATATTATGCCCTGTATTTTTAAGGAAAAGTTTCAGTATATAACATTTGTGATACCTTTTCTTCCTGCAAGTAATCAAAACACCCATTTTCAGACATTTATTTGAGATTTTGATTGAAATGCTTTTGGGCCTTTGGCAAAAATACTACATATGATGGGGTCCTGCAACATCTATTCCATCACACTTCGATTTCGACTTTAATGGTTTGAAATTAACAATGAAATTATCGTCATTCTTTTTAGAATGCAGTAGATTATTTTGTTTACCCTTTGGAATTATGAATCCGGAGTTTACCTGAACTTCCAAACCTCCACTCATAATTATTAATCTCAATTTTAACTGATAAGTTCAGTCTAAATTCTGAAGTTTTGATACTTGGTCTCAAATTCCAGCAATTTCCGGAAGTGGTGTTTCAAGACTAAGAGAAATATTTGTTTAATTTTTGGATAATTGAAAGGTTTATAAGGCTATTTAACTACACCATGGAAAAAAGTATGAAACTCCTCACGTAGCAATACAGCCACAGTAGGGCGAAAAGAAGATTGCATTCTTGTTTTCTATTTGTGCAATTGAAAATTTGTGAAAACATGCACTTGTTGGGATTGATCCAATTTCTAATTATTTTATGCGTCGAATTTAAATTTCGTATCTATTTGTTATCAGGATAGCAGTACAAGCACAATCAGGAATGTGGCTAATGTGTGCTGCGTTCAGTTCTCTCCTTATTCCCCCCATCTTTTGGCCTTTGGGTCTGCTGATTACAAGGTCTACTGTTATGATCTTCGTAGCACAAGAACACCTTGGTGCACATTGGCTGGACATGGAAAAGCTGTTAGTTATGTGAAGTTTGTGGACTCGGTTACACTTGTGTCATCTTCTACTGATAATACGCTTAAGCTTTGGGATCTTAACAGAACAAGTGCTAGTGGATTTTCCAACAATGCTTGCAGCCTAACCTTTAGTGGTCATACTAATGAGAAGGTGAGGAATTGTTATATTTTCTGTCTTTTGTGCATTGAATACTTGTGTCATTTCCATTGAGCGCTTTTCTGTCTTGTGTGTTTATCTGTCACTGTATTGTTCTGTCTATTCACTGCTGTTTTCTCAGAACTTTGTGGGCCTCTCTGTTTCGGATGGATATATAGCATGTGGATCGGAGACAAATGAGGTTGGTTAAGTCCCTTATTGTTTCAGTGCATGTTATTGTGGTTCAGGCTTATAACCTTTGTAATTCATGAGTTGATATACATGCTATTCTCTGTTCATATTACTGAATGCAGTTCATTGACACAACAATTGAAAGAGTAAGGTCTTAAAGGCCACCAAATGTCAGGAGCTACGTCTTCTATCTACAATGCACCTACAATTCCCCCATCTATTTAGATTTGAAGCTTGTTCTCTGACACCTTGGAGCACTCTGTTCTTCCTGTGCTTCTTCTGTTGGTTTTGCTTGTTTGCCTTCTTTACTTCTTGATTTTGTCTGATTTACTCCCATGCATTATGTGTGTGTTGACTTGAGGTCTCAGTCCAATGAAACAAGAGTCCTTTATTGCTTACCTAGTTGTCCTGATCCGAGTTATTGGATCAGTTTTGTCCCTCTTCTGATGGAATTTCTTTAATGCCCTTAGTAATGGTTACAATCAATCTCTTCCATTGCGACAATCTCCTTTTTCACCCATTTACATTTTGTCATTGTGGCAATCTCCTTTCTCCGCCCATTTACATCCTTGTCCCTCATAATGGTGGTTTCTCTGTTGCGATTTCTCTTTAGCCCTCCATCTCTTGCTGGACACGTTTCTAATTCCCCGCTCTATGCACTCATGAATTGGAAAGGCTGTCTTTCCCTGAATTGGATTGTTACTAGTCCACTCTCAGTGATGAACCTCTCCCATCTGCATGCTAAATGGAAAATATCAGAGGGTTCAATAAAATGATCTCTCACATCTCCATTGACATCAGTTGTCACTGTTCAATCTTTTGATGTCTAATTTCATTTTTTTCCCTTTTCACTTGTGACTTCATGATTGGAAAGGATGGATCTTCTCCACAATAGAACACCTATGCTCCTCTCCTTTTCATTTGATCCCTTCTCGAGTCCCCACCACCGTGGATACTGTTTCATCATCCAGTAAGGTGATTTATTCACTTATTCCAGGAGGTATTTCACTGCATTTGGCAATGCTTTGTATAAAGAATGATGGAGCCAAACAGAAAAGACATTATTCCTTTTCTGTTAACTTTAAACACATTGGAACATTGGGTTTCAAGTGAAGAATACTTTAACGCATTCATTAATTTGGGTTCCCTGTTTTGGTGATTACTATCTAATAGCACGGGCCTTGCGCTATGCTATGTCAGTTGTCTTCTGTTTTTATATTATTTTAAGTCATTTCATATTGTAACTATAATGATTTAGCTTTTATGATTTTTATTTTATTTTTTGGCTTATATTCTAAGAGGCTGTCACTTGGTGTGATGGTAAAAGGCTTGGGTAGCCAGCGCAAGAGCGTGGGTTCGAGTCCTGAGAGTGGTCACTTTGTGCATAAAAAGCCAAAGGTTAGGACCGTTTCCAACCCACCCCTCCCGGAACCCTGCATTGGCTGAACCAGAACCGGGTTACCGCCCAACCCCGTTTTTTTTTGTTTTTTTGTTTTTTTTTGTTTTTTTTTTTGACTCATATTCTTTCTCTTTAGTTTGTCCACCAAACCTGATTTATATAAGAAATCATACAAATTTGTAAAGGGGAATAGACTTAATCTTTTTCAGGAACTCCTATTTGTTATGAATGAGAGTATTTGAACGAAAGAAGTCCATCTATAAGAGTTGGGAATAGACTTAATATTTTTTAGGAACTCCTATTTGTTATGAATGAGAGCATTTGAAAGAAAGAAGTCCATCTATAAGAGTTCAGAAAAAGTCCATCTAATAGATGAGAGAAATTTTAGGAAATAGGTGAGAACAGTAATCATGACTTTGAGTTCCAAAGTCATGCTTCTATTTTTTTTTCGTTGTGTGTGTGTGTGTGTATGTGATGTCTATAGCAGTATGTCTGACGTTTAGAGCTTTTGTGTCCACATGTGTAGGTTTTTGCTTATTATAAGTCCCTTCCTATGCCGGTCACTTCTCACAAGTTTGGCTCCATTGATCCTGTATCGGGGCAAGAAACACATGACGAGAGTGGACAGTTTGTTTCCAGTGTTTGCTGGAGAGGAAAATCAAGCATGGTTGTCGCTGCAAATTCAAATGGAAACATTAAACTTTTGCAGATGGTGTGAGCAAAACAGAGAAAAGCAATCATGCCTACAAGTTTCAATAAGAACTAGCCTGCTAGCTCTGGAAATTCCTTTCAGATGACAACTGTGGATGGTTTAAAGCTGTTGAAGATTGCTTGGCTGACCATTCTGCTTTGATTTATCTTGGAAGCTTGATGTTATGCAATCCATATGACAAAAAGATTCGGATATGTGGCCAAATGTATATAAAAGTGAGGCCTGAATATATGATTACCTTTGTGCTTTCGAAGAAACTCGTTTGTCTTATATCTGAGTTGCTTAATTTTTGCTGATGATTTCCCAATTAATTTTTCTTGAAAAGCTGATAGCTTGAGATGGGATTAGATGAGAAGGCTCCAATGAAGAATAAAATACAAAAGAGATGAGCGGCACAAGCATTTGATTCTGACAAAGGAGACACCATGCGAGTGCTGGAAGAGGCATCCTCAAAACTTGATGCCCCCATGGGAGATGAATGAGTGGGGTGTCGTCGTTGGAGTCTCTGCGTATCTCATATGGCCAGTTTGTTCATTTTAGATAAACACTTGCAAATGAAGGAGTGATATGATTGTAGGATTGGTTGAAGCATGAGAGCTCTCCAAAAAGAAGTGCGAAGAAGCTGCAATTGAAGGACCCAAATTGTTATGCAGAGGATTTGAGGTTTCATGATGTATTTTCGGTGAGATAATATCAAGAGCTTGTACTCTCTGTTTAATATTCAGTAAATGGAAAATGGGTCTTCTGTTTGTTCTCATGCACCTTTGGCCTTTCTTTGTTCATTTGTTGGGTTGCTTGGGTATGCAACATCATGCACACACATGCACATATACCTGTAATTTCTATATTGAATTCATATATTATCCTCGTTGAGTGTTTCTAGTACATGCTTCATTCCTTTTACTAGAGATGACCCAATTTCTCAGCTCCATATTGGACCTTTACTGCACTGTTGAAATGTCTCGAGTTCTTTCATTTCTTTGGACATATAGGAGACTCTCATAATTTATGTTATTAAATATAGACTCATAATTATGCTTTAATCCTTAATAACCTCTGTTACTTTAGTAAGAGTAGTGTGTGTCAATGTCGCCTAATCAATATAACCTCTTATTTCTAATTTATACAAAAATGTGAAAGATCAATGGAGATAAATTATTAGAATGTTTTCTAAATGTTAATTGTTTTATTTCGGTATTCTTCTTAAACTATATGGTGTAAGAAATACACGTATAAAGAGAATTAGAAGAAAAGGAAATCCATTGTGTTTATATTAAAAGGGATATATGATTTTGTTCTTATTTTTGGGGTTGGGAAGGAAAAAATATCATTTATATCATATTAGAGGGGACAAAAAAATGTTCCATACTAGTGACATTCTACATGCTTTGGATCCAAGAATTGTAAAGAAAGTTATAGCTTAAGAAGTCTGCACTAAGTAGCTTATGATGCCCTTTTGGGTCAAGTTTGATAATATATGTTGCTTCTTTTCCTTCCAAACTTTGCGGTGAAGCATTCCTAAAATGAATTTCGATGAAAATTCGACAACCCTAAAAATGTTAAGAAAGTAACCTAAGAAATTTTCAAGGGTCACATCTCTAAGAACTAAGAAAATTATTAACCTAAAAGAAATTGTAAGGCTATCTCAATAAAACAAACTATACAACAAGAGTAGAAAATGAGGGTCAAGTACCGCAAACTCTAATATTTTATTAAAACAACTCCATCCTAGACTTAGTTATTATAGAATTTCTTGTAATTTATAACCTCTAATTCATAAATCATGTCCACTGAGAATATATATTACAAGAGAATTTACTGTGTAATATCTTCAGCTTTCTTCAATTTACCCAGAATATGTTAGTCTCCATTCACAAATTAGCAAAATGCCTCAATATCTCAGTGTAGGATCAATTGTGTATTGTCAAGAGTCGCATAGGTTTTACCTGTTTATCAGTTCTCAAAAAATTTCAAAATGTGATGATGAATATAAGTGTTTCTGAATGGTAATGTGTGACCCGAAATGATTCTGTTGGTGGTTGATCCAATTGGACCTGTCTTCAGGAATATGTGTAGGATCCCGACCTGCTGTAATTTCATTGATTACTGATCATGTGGGTTGGGTCCCAATGTCCAATGACAAGTCTCAACTACAGGCATTGGAGATGATATCTGGCTCCATTTGATGGACAATGGTGGATATTGATCGGAACTATGGATCATTGCCACTCTCCCTTATAGTGGAGAGTGGAGATTGAGGTCGTACGTAAAGCATGTAAGACTTGATCCTATAGAGACTGCTCCAATATATCTTTATCTTTTGAAGTGGAATTTTGTTTTTCATTCTAATTTGCTGCAGTGGTGCGTCAGATCGTATAAGGATTCCGAAATGGAAAATGTATATATCAAGTTGCAACCTTATACTATAGAAGTAAGGTGCACCTCAAAATTCAAGTAGAAACGAGTGTTCTGAAGTTGAAAAACCTTCCAGTTGATAGTCTCGACCTTGAGATCTATTGATGTAAAGAAAAAAAGAATTTCAAGTCCCAAAATAAGTGCATCTTATTACAAGTTATCTGGACAGTCTATTTTCAAGATTTTCAAGTGTTTATAGATCTGCTCGATCTGCACTATTTATAGGATTTTAAATTTCATAATTAAGGCTGAACATGAATTTTTGAAGCCATCATATAGTTTTCGACACTGGAACTATATCTTCTAGCAACATTTAGATGTGCGCCTTATATTGTATAACGTGACGTGGGCACCTTATACAAACCTCGCACTTTCGAAATATGATGATAGTGCAAGAACAATACTAGGATGAGTGATGTCCTTGGTGGCTCTTTCTGTGGCACCATACCCCAAAAAGAGAAAAGTGGAATTTTTATTAAAAATTATTTCCTCATTTCATATCAGTCTACTTTTTTTATGTTTTTTCGAATCTTGTTTTGTCATGTCTTGGATTTGAGATGCATCATTTAAAAGATATATTTTAGATAAGTTAAGAATGCACAAGATTATCAGTTGCATGGAGGATCATTTAAGGTTGAATACTGACAAAGATGTGTCTGCCTTGGACCACACTTGCTAGATTATTTTGTTAGTAAAACCTATGTTAATTAGGAGTCTTGCAACTTTAGGTGGTGGGTTAGTATGAAATACTGAGAATAGCAGTTTGTGATGGGAATGTGTGATTTTGAATTTCTGATGAGATGCTCCATTCTTTTCTTTTTTGAAATTATTCTGATCCCTCAATGAAGAACACAAATTAGAAGAGTAAAATTTTCAGTGGTCTTATCTTACCAAAGATCCTCTCTCTGTCTCTCTCTCTCTCTCAAGCGCACCTACACATATACACACAAAACACACGCATGCAACCCTGAACTTTATCGTTTGGCTCCTCTCTCTCTCTCTCTCTTTCTCAATTGTTTGGTGCAGATTCTCAAAGACTCATTTATCCATGCTATTCTGTACAAGGCATATGTCTTTCAATATCGATAGAACTAGCACTGTTGCAGGAGTTCAAGAAACAGTTCTGGCTACAAATGGAAGGTGTTACAAAGGCACATCACAATCCCAACAGTATCAGAAACATCAGATTCAGAAACTTACCTTCATAATGCAGCACTCACATCCTGTTAATCAAGATTTGAGGTGCTACACTTGAATAAGCCACTGTATTAGGCTACCAGAATCCATCCTAATTCCTTGATCTGGCCAAGCGAACACACTACAACTGAAAAATAAGAAGAAGAAGAAACAGAAATACAAAGTTTCCTACAGCCCAAAAGATCACTGGCATGTAGAAACTTAAGTGTAGCGACATAAATACACAAAAGACAGACACTATGTTACATGTATTTGCTTTTGAGTAATCTTAAAGCAGCTTTCGATGCTGTGGTGCATGCTAGCTCAATTTATCCCTTGAACTTCCCATGACGGAAAGAGGAGAAAGACAACGAATGATGCACCATTCAAAAGAGAGAACCATTGCTCTACTCTGTTGATTATTTCCATGGAGAAGTGTAATGATTCAAATTCAGGCAATTTCGGAGTCTGAGGCATGCCCCGTTGCCCTTCTTCTGGGGCTCATCATGACTGGTTCTAACGTGTTATCAGAGTTCATCCTCATGCTTCGGCCGCATGGTGTCATAGATGGAGGTCTCAATGCTCTACCTTTGTTTCTCTCCCCTGAGACATTGGAAAACCACGATGTTATTACAGAGTAATTGCCTTCAAAGATCTCACAAGCACTATGTGAGAGTCACTGAGATGTTATGGATTTTATTTTTTTTCTTAATGGTGCATTCTTAATGTCCCTTGTGTGGAAACTCCTTTTTTTTCTCTTGTGGGGGTGGGGGGTGAGAGAGGAGTCACATAGCTCAGCTTTTATTTGAATATCCCATTACTGTCTTACATTTTTCAGTTTTACAGCACGGCTTTTATTTTAAATATGGTGCACCATATTTCTAGTTCTTACAGTTTTCATTTTTTCAACCCATTTTCGTATATTTCATTCATTCTATTTCCACTGCTTTTATAGTTTTGGTTCTTTTATGTGAATATCCATTCCCCCCTCTCAAACACATGGACCTTTCTCATTTTTTGGTATTCTTGTTTCCCATCATTTAACTCACTTGGTAGCATTGCTTTTTGCTTTTCATTTATATCTATTATACTATGCAACAAAACTTTTCACCTCTTCACCCCTTTCACTCCAATTTTATGGCTGTAACCATTGGCACTGTAACCAATCAAGCCTATGTCCAAATCCCTGTTTATGTTTAGCTTTCATGCAGCATTTGTGCATCAACTTCGTTATGTAAGAGGAAAACCATGAGAAACATATGCCGGCAAATTCTAGCTGGACTTCTTCATGCATAGATATTTGAAGTCTACAAGATGAATGGGCAAGCTCTTCTGATAAGAAAAACTTCATGGCCCATTTGCAAGCAAGATGATCTCAAACTGGGATCTCTTATTATCTCTAAATCCGAAATTCTAGCCTCATATAGTTTTTATGGGGAAAAGTTTATATAAGGTTGCAACCTTATGCTATATCTTGGGTTGTTGGAATTGCACCTCCTCCATGGTATCTCGCTTTAATTTTTGATAAGATATCGTATATTTGCAGGGATACAGTCGTCTCATGGATCCATACTTGGAGGACATCAAACTCCTTGGTAGACCATTTGGCTAAGGAGGGAGCACTCTTGGGCACATGAAAGATATCAGCAGTCATTACTCAGTAGGGCTTCATGTCTCGCAGATGTTTTGTACTACTTTAGATTTCTCTGTCTCTTTTTTGTATATGACCGTAATGGGCAGATCTTATGAGCCCCAACCATTTTTTGTACAGGGCCCTTTCTATGTTAGCCAATTTTTTTGTGGAGGGACTCGGCTTGTGGGCCGCCCCCTACATTTTTTGCTGAGGAACCCGGCTTGTGGGTTGCCCTGTATGACTCTTGGAGTCCCTCCTTTCCCCTTTCAATACAATAGTTAACATTATTAAAAAAAAAAAAAATTCCAGTAGGAAAGAGCCTTCCGAAGTTGGAAAACCTTCCAATTGATCATCTCGACTTCAAGATGTATGTTTATTAAAAAAAAAGAATTTCAAGGCCTAAAACTTGTACTTCTTGTAGCAAGTTATTTGGATTGTCTATTTTTAAGATTTTTAAGTATTTATAGATATGTTCGGTCTGCAGAGTTTTTGGAATTTGAAATTTCATAATTAAGTTGAAGATAGATTTTTCAAACCATCATAAGGTTTCCAACACCGGAACTGTCTCTTATGGAATTTTGAGGTGTGCCTTACTTATATAGTATAAGGTGGGCACCTTATGCAAACTTCACCCAGGCTTACACAATAGTTCCAGATTAATTCACATCAGTCATAGTCCTGTGAGAAATTTTGGGTAGAGAAAATCATAGTAGCAACCATCTATATACTGATGCTGTAGTGATTATAACCACACTTGGCCTCTGTTTTCATTGTACTGAACAATTTGATCTGTTAAATATAATGTTCACAATTACTGTGAACGATGAATGAGATTCAGTTGATCCTCAGTTTCGTAATATGATTCAGTACTCTGAAACGCTTTTCCTTTTTATATCCTTATTTTCTTCATTGCTTTTTTGGTTAGTTCATGTTTTTTCATGCTTTTATTTTATTATTCTCGAAATATCTTTATAAGAAAAAAGTCATTCCCCTTGGTTGTACTTTTGTCTGGTTGAATGCAAGAAACAGGACGACATCACAGGAAAAAGAAACAAGAAATCTGTAAACATTTGATTCGACTCTAACTGAAAAGATTTGCATAGCAAGTTGCCCTGCTCTGCTTATCAAAAGATTACTATACAACCAAGATTAAGCTAAAAGAAACCCTAGTGCAGAAATTTCTCTTGGATTATTCCACATCAAGTTTTCATATAGAGATTTACCTAAAGACAACCAGTTTAAAAAAGAAGTGACAATCACACCAAAGAAAAAAAACGTCCACAAAGATAAGTGATGACCTGATGATTTTCTTGATTTTCCATTTGTGGTCTTCTTTGCAAAGGCTGGTTTCTTGGTGGACTCTGAACTACTCTGAGAGGACCGAGATGTAGGCTTGAGATTGGAGAATGTCTCTTCCACATTCCCCTGGTTCTCGTCCCCCCCGACAGATGCTCCATCACTCCCTGATTCTGAGTTCTTTTCCTTCAAATTCACCATGGTTTTCTGTCTCTCTATAACCCGATAAGCGAACATTTGAAATGGGATGAGAGAAACTGACTCTGTAAATTCTTCACCACAACCCAATAAGCGTTTTGAGAAGTTTGCCTCCAAGTCCATATAATCGATCAGGGGAAGAGGGGCATCAGGCTGATCATGATCTTGGTTCATGACCAAGAATCTCTTTATGTATCGAAGAGTCCTGCATATTGATGAGAAGTTTGGCCTCTGGTTTGGGTCGTCTTGCCAGCATTTCTTGGTTAAGGCAGTGAGATACTTTGGAGAAGGAAAAGGAAACAATGGTCTCTCACCTGCTCTTAGATTCCGGCTCATCTTGTCTCCTTGTAAGTGCCCCTCTTCAAAAGGCAACTTACCAGTCAACAACTCAAAGCATATCATTGAAAAGCTATAAACGTCTGCTTTCTCTGTGTACTTTGATGGACTCGTAGGGTTCCCTTGTTCTTGCTCCTGAAGAACTTCAGGTGCATACCAGATAACTGGATCTGTTGTGGGTTGATTTGCAGAGTTCTTAGAGGTTGAATTCTTTACAGAGGTGAGCCCAAAACCGGTGATTTTCACATGCAGATGTCCCTCTGACGATGGGTTTCTCACTCTAACTAGAATGTTTGAAGGATTGAGATTCCCATGATATATCTTTCGAGAGTGAAGGTACTCCATTCCTCTGGCTATTTGAAGCATGACATCAACAGTCACTGGTAGAGTGAAAGGGACCCTCTTTCTAGGACCACATGTTTCCTTTATGTAGTTGGAAAGGTCCCTGTTCATTAATTCCATTACAAGGAAGCATTCCTTTCTCTCCTTGTCAACAAACCCACAAAGGATATGCATAATGTTTGGATGCATGAGTGAAGATAATAAAGATATTTCAGGGATCAGGGGTTCGACCTCTGCGTGAAAATGGCGCACTGCAAAACTTTCTCCCATCCAATGGATCTCTTTGTGCTGGCCACCATTCCCTAGTCTCCTCCTCACCTGATAGTCTTTTGGATCCGTTAATATGGAGCAAGGGAATAAGTCTCCCTTTGAAACCTCAGAGCCCTCGAAATTCTTATGCAAGAGGTCAAGGATTCGACTTTCTGATTTGGTTCTTCGCTTCTCTTCCAATATCTCTAGAAACATTTTCCTGTCTTCTTTCCATACAGTATTCAATCTGTTGCATATTTCTCTTGAAACCAAGTATTTCTTTCCAAAATTCCATTGGAAAAGACTTTTGTCAAGCCATTCTCTTTCATACCTCTTAGAAAAGAGGAGCTTTTTCTTTTGGGTTTCCTCTTGATCATAGCCTGCTATCTCTCCTGCAATTTCTATGGACTCAAACACCACAAAAACGCACCATATGAAATTGTGTAGGTGGAATTCGACGCAGTCGTTGTTTTGAGGCAGAGATATTGCCTTACCCAATGAATCCTTGGGTTCTAAGCAATGTTTGATGTAGCTTTCGCCTTCTTTTACAGTCCTAAAGAGTTCCTTCAGTGGCTGTTCCAAAGCCTTCCATTTCTTCAATCTCTCATCGAATTTTAGGTTGTCTCTGATTTCTTCCGCAATTCCTTGGAGCCCAAGCTTGAAAATCTCATATAAGAGAGAGCACTGGTGCCTATTGATCCGAATATCATCCTTGAAAACCATTAAGACTTTGAGACTTCCCAAAACTTCTCCAATCTGTCTGAGTTGTTCCATCATAGACAAGAGAGGAGAGGAACAATGGAGGAATGGCGATTGAAATTAATCAACACGCAAATGTACTGGATGACCAAATTCTCATGGGAAGAGATGGAATTGCAGGAGAGAAGGGGTTATCTTAAGGCCCTGAAAGCTCCATTAATTAAAAATTAAAGGAGGCTTCACCTGTGGCAGAGTTCAGAAACAAATAAAAAGCGATGAGGCCGAGGCCTTAATTTGGATCTTCCGCGAGTGCAAAATGCTTTGTACTTTCTTTCCTTAAACCAGCTGTGGGTGAGATGACCCAACACTTGTCACCAAGTTTTTGGACAAGTCCAAGAGGTGGGGTTGGTTGATGGAAAACCGGTATCAGAGAGAGAGAGAACAATTGTTGTTTTTCATGGAGAGAGAGAGAGGGAACAATTGTTGTTTTTCTTGGAAACAGAGAGAGAGGGAACAATTGATGGAGAGAGAGAGAGAATAAGGGAATTGAATTTTCATATTTAGCTTGTCAATGTAACGGTGAGCAAAGCTAAACCGTTCCTAACGGAATGACAGGGTGACACGTTTGGGGAAGAAGCTTTGATTGGGTCCTGACAGAAACATTTCCCCAATATATACCCTTGTCTTTTCTCTCAAATTTCTAAACAGGCTTTGCCTTGCCATTTACCAACAAACGGGAATCTCATGAAATTGACAAAGATACCCTGTTTATTTTTTAGGAAAAGGTTAAGATCTATGCTCCCCTACCATCTAGCCGTCTAATTTTGATCAAGCGAGCGACTCACTGTTTGATCTTAGATCCAACATCTTAAAGTATTTTTTTTTTAGTTTTTTTTATACAAATTGTAGAAATAAACAATGCTCCTGAGGGAGTAGAAATAAACAATGCTCCTGAGGGAGCATGGTATATGTGCTCTTCTCCCCAATGAGATATTTTCCTTTTTTTGAAATGACCAAAATGCCCTAGTTTTCCTTGTTATCGGGTTGTCAAGGCCTCCCAATGTCCTAATGAGTCTAGATTTTTAAGTTTGTATTGTCTTTTCATGTCCAAATCTCAAGCTTGCTGATCTCATAATTTCACAAGGTTTCCTTTTATTTTCATTTAGAGCTGGAACATGTTAGTTTGAAGTTTCGATTGATATTTGATTTGAATTTCCAATTTTGTTTCCTCCGATATTTTGGAAATTAGAATCCATAGCCAGTTATGCGATGTATTCCATCTAATGCAAATTTCAGTCTAAAATCTAGATCTAGGAAGTAAAGGACATGATTTTGTTGCCTGATAACATTTTACTAACTTTCGAGAAATAGTACAAGAGAAGAAGAAGAAAACAAAGAGGTACATGCCAATTAGGCAAAAGTTAGTGATCACTAACGAATCTTGGTGAATACCATTAGCAAGAGAGTTTGCCTCGGTGTTGGACTCCATGAAAGTGTGGCGCAACACAACAGATTTAGACACTAAAAGCTCTCTAATCTCCATGAAGATTGATGTTAACCTCCAAAGGAACCTAGACTCTCCATTTCCCCTACCTAGCTATAATATTTGCGAGTCCCCTCAATAATTTTACGGCACTACATTCTTCTTAATAATTTTTCCCCCTTTTTTTGGTAAACAAGATATGAACGCATAACACCCCTATAAACAAATCCAATCGATCAAGCCAAAAGATATCATTCTCCATATTGTCCGTTTACTCCGTCAGAAAAACCCAATCTAGGAGTACTTTTAGGACTTCAAATTTTGCACACGTGACCTCTTCAAACCATGTGTTATAACGAACAAAAAAAAATTTAAATTGTATTTTCTTTTGGCTTGAAAGACATAATACCTCAAGATTGAATAAAAATTTTTCAATTTTTTAAATGTGAATCTAAGTATTAAAAAATTTAAAATTCAGTTAATCTAAGTATTAAAAATTTAAAATTCAGTTTTTATTCTTTTAACTATAATCATTTAGTGATTTTATGTGGTTCCCAAAATTTTGAATCAAATTAGTTTTCCAAGTTAATCTTTTGCCTGAGTGAGTAAGTGTATAGTAGGCTCCCGCATGAGCATATTATACATGCTTATCGATCAAAGTGTGGAAAGTAACTCATATTATATGTGTTTATCGATCAAAGTGTGGAAAGCATTGTTTGCAAAGTCGCCCACTCTAACTGCTAACCACCCGGTTATATCGAAACCGGGTAGTGGCCGATTCTGGTTTTGGGCGGTTAAGGTGATTAACTGATATTTTTTTAAAAATATATTCAAAACAATGTATATAAATTATCAAAAATAAGGAATTTGATTTGTAATGCATTTTTAAATTTTGTTTACATTATGGAAAAGATTAAAAATTGTTTTGATCATTAATACTCACTTTTATATTTTCCCATCTTTTTTAGAAATTTTAAAAAATAGCCATTGGAAAATATTAAATAGGTTAAAATCCATTTTTTTAATTAATTTTCAACTTCATTTGATTGTGGTTTGTTTTAATCATTCTTTATATGTTTTTCATATTTTAGTAGATTTTTTTTGTTTTTTATTTAATTTTTTTCAACATTTGTTTGACCGCCTGAGACTTGCCCTGTTGGAGTGGTTGAATCGGCCGGTTGACTGGTTAGGCAGGTTAAATCACTGTCGGGCTCATGTCCGGTTAACCGTTCCGATTCGATTTTGTGAACACTGGTGGAAAGTAACTATGGTCCTTGCGTTTATTTTTAGCAGTGTTGGAGAAGTCGTCTGAGTCTTTTCGACCAGGCCAAGTTACTCAGGCTCAGGTCTGAGCCTAAGTTGTCTCAAGTTGAAGGTCGAACTTGGGGATCTTAATTTTTTTTAAAAAATATAAAATATCTCAAAAGATAAGAATATATTTATTTGGAGTAATGATCATATGAGACCTTTCCACACTCATGTGAGTAAGGATTCCAAATAAGCATCATTAAATTTGGCACAGATATCTAGAAAAATCAAGTCCCACACCCATGTGATAACTTTTCTAGATATCTGTACCAAATTTAATGATGATCATTTAGGGTGGTCTTACTCACATGAGTGTGAGAGGGTTTCATAGTGTCATTTCTCATTTATTTAGGTTGTCTATTATTTTGGCAAAGATTGGAAAGTATTTTGGCCATTAATACATATTTTTAAATTTTTCCCATTTTTTGAAAAGTTTCAAAAATACCCCCAATCACAAACTCATGTTCTAAAATTTATTTTTTTGCTAATTTTTTAACCATAATTAGTTGTATTTTGTTAAAATTTACTTTGAGTATACTTTCCGATTTTTGGTATTTTGTATTGTTTTTATTTATTTGTAATAATTCTGCATTTGTTATAGTACTCGGCCTTACTCTGGCCGAGTTACTCTGGACTCGAACGAGTGGTCGGCCTGAGTTCACTTTTCGCTTTTAGTAATGGAGGTTTGGAGCCCGTACCATGTTCAATATCGACCCCAAAGAAAATCCATGCAAAGAGACTCCAGGGAGGGTTGGAGGGAATGAAGGGGTATTTAACAATGGGTGCGGTTTGTATGGAGCCCAGGCTCAAAACAATTAAATTAGAGCCTACCTTCAAATAGCATCGAGAAATATGATTTCAATACTAAAAATCTTTGTGATAGCCTTAAATGTATTTTCATCTTTTAATTGTAAAATTTAAAGGTTAAAAAATAGTGTAGATCGAACAGATCTATGAAATATGAAAATCTTGAAAATTGACAGTCCAAAAATGCGTTACAAGATGCACTATTTCCAAAACTTAAAATCCATTTTTTTTCTCATATCCATGCATCTTGATGTCGAGATGATCAATTTGAGGATATTTGGGCATCAAAACAACCTCTTCTAGTGAAATTTTTGAGGTGGGTTCGAATTTGATTGTTTAGTGCCTCAGGTCTATATAAACTTTTTTCTTTTAACAATTACTTCTATGCATGGCCATTGTATAGTAATGCCCATTTTTCTAAAAAATCACACTCGAATTAATGTTAAAATATCATTTTATTTTGGAATAAACAATAAGTTAAAGATTTTCATATTTTTACATTGGTCAACCCTATGGAAACTGCATTCTTGGTAGAGATTAATCGTAGCATTATTATAATAGAGATTAATCATAACATTATTATAGAGAAGTCAGATTGGTACTTCTAAGTATCAGACCAACTTCTAAAAAAAATAAAATTTCGACGCAGTTGGATACTTCAAGTGCTAGTTTAGGGGTACCTTAGGCAAAGAAAAATTGGCAAAGAAAAATAAATAAATAAGTAAATAAAAGACCTTCCACAATATGAAAAAAAAATATAATTTTGGACAAATCTTTCAATTCAAAAATAAAGATTCTTACATAATTTCGTTTTTTTTTACTCAAAAAAAATGTTGGTTAAATATGGCACGCAAGAAAGTAGCTGATAGACAACGTGCGGTGAGCATGCAAACCATTTCACTACTTTATTTTAGTAGTTGAGTACATGTCTCTAGACTAGGCAAAAGATTGGGCCCTCCACTAACAAACCCTAGCCCTAAAATTGGAGCACGATGGCAACTAAGTTTGTTGATGTGGCCCAATGGATTCAGGTCAGATGTTTAATGCATTTGCACTACCCTTACATACACACCTACCATGATTTGAAGTGATGAATTGCCCTATTATTACATGAGAAATATTTATCTTCTTCTTCTTTCTTTCTTTCTTTTTCTTTTCTCTTCTTTTATTTATTTATTTATTTATTTTATTTATTTTTGTGGGAACTCACATGTTATATTAAAACCAAAGAGTGTGAGTATTTCAGGACAATAAATTTTATGGCTTATAGTCCTGTTGTAAGTACAAGTACAATAATTCTTGTTACGATTCTCATTTACGTTTCATTTCTTAATTATTAGTTTTTCCTGGTAGTGTCATTTTATGTAAGGCCTAGAGTATAAGAAAATAAAGAAAAGTCTCACCTCGAATCCTCATCTACTTAAGCATCAAATAAAATTGGTATGATATAGAGAAGATAAGTGTCCCCCCTGCACAAGGATGACACACAAATTGAGAAATTGTCCAAATTTTTGTTTCTCAAAAAACGAAGCCTCATCTAAAATCCTCATCTGGAAAGCACTTAGGCATCAAAAATATTTATGATGGCTCTAAAATCAATTTTCAATACCAACTATGAAATTTGCAGCTCAACAAATGGTATAGATTTTGTGGATTTGTGAACACTTATTTTTTAAAAAAAATGAAATGTGTTATTTTATACACTACTTTTAAAGCTTGAAATCCTTTTTTTTTCACTACAATA